TGCTAGGTATTATAAATATGAATGCGCGATCCCGCTGACAGGACACCTGTGGGGCAGCAGAGCTGGCTGAGCCATATTGGAAGAGATCTGGTGTTAGTTTAGATCTGGTCCAGGAAGCCATTGATGAATTTAGGCAGGTGAGATTTAGTTTGGGGTGGACACGGTAGTTTGTTGAGTTTGTTTGATTTGTGACAGCCTTGCCTGTCATGGTGCAGGCTGCAGTGCAATTGGGCCTGCGATCTCGAGTTCACTCGGCAACCTCCACCTTCTGAGTTTCAACGATTTCGGTCCTGCCTCAGCTCTCGATAACTGGATTACAGACACGCCCCCACACGCCGGCTAATTTCTTTGGTGTTCTTTTTTTGTGGAGACGCCCAGTCTCGCTCTGTTACCCAGGCTGGACGTGCAGTGGCGCCAGCTCAGCTCACTGCAACTTCCACTTCCCTCGTTCAAGAGCATTCCCCTGCCTCTGAGCCTCCCCGAGGTAGCCTGGCGATTACAGGCGGACACCACCATGCTCTGGCTATTTTTTGTTTTTGTTTATGTATTTTTAGTAGAGACGGGGGGGTTTCCCATTCTTGCCAGGGCTAGTCTCAAATCTTCCTGACCTTGTGATCCTACCTTGCCTCAAGCCTTCATTACAGTGCTGGATTACAGACAGTGAGCCCCGCGGAGCCAGGGCCTGGGACTCTAGTCCCAGCTCTGCTGCTTACTTGTGTCACTTCAGCCTCTCCGTGCCTCAGTTTCTCCATAGGGACAATGACTACACTAACAGTGTCCATCCCGGCACTGGGAGGGCCGGGCTCCCGGCAGGGCGGGGACCCCCCCCCGACCCCTAGACGCTCCCGGGCCTCCAGGCCTGTTCTTGGGGTGCCCCCGCCCCTCGCGGGGCGCGGCCTGGGAGGCGCCCCGCCCCGGCTCCGGGCGCACCTTTACCTGGGGGAGCCGAGGCCTGCGGGGCGCGCTCGGCGATCAGAGGCGGCTGCGGACCGGCCCTGGTTGGCCCCCGGCTCCCCGCCCGGCTCCCCGCCCGGCTCCCCGGCCCCGGCCTCAGCCCCACAGAGGGTCGCGCAGGCCTTGGTGGCGGCCCCGGCGCTGGCCCCGCCCTCGCTCCCGCCTTCCGGCTGCGCCGGGCCTTCCGGGAAGCCACGCGCCGGGCCGGCTTCTGGCTCGAGCTGCGCACTGCCTTAGAGGGACCCAGGGGTCGCTGCTGGGCACCCCCTCCCCGGTCCCGGCCCACCCCACCGCTGACACCGGGGCCCTGGCTTGGGTTACGGGTGAAGCACCGAGACGAGGCGCCCGGAGAGGAGTCCCGGGGACCGCAAGGCCGCGCTCCCGCAGGCCCAGCCCTGCCCTTCTCCCTTGCGCACGCACGATCAGATCCGGGCCCCGCGCACCTGCCTCCAGG